TGCTGGATGTACCATTAAACTTGCCCGCTGTCCGGGCTTTTTTGTTTTGCTTTTTTTCTTCTCTCCTTTCTCTCATTGATGATAAGATGCGGGAAGCGAGGCTCAGATGGTTCGGGCATATTCAGAGGAGAAGCCTAGATACTCCGGTAAGGAGGTGCGAACGGCTGGTTGTGGAGGGCACGAGAAGAGGTAGAGGGTGGCCTAAGAAGTATTGGGGGGAGGTGATCAGGTAGGATATAGTGAGGCTTCAGATTTCCGAGGACATGGAACTTGATAGGAATATGTGGAGGTCAATATTAGGGTTGTAGGTTAGGAGGTAGTTGAGTGTTGCCTTATGTCATAACTTTGTGCGACTAGTTTGGTAGGGATACTATTTCGCTTTTGCTTTGTTATCTTTCTTCTGGATTTCATGTTTTTCCTTTTTTTCCTATTATTTCTGTGCTATTACTGATATTGTCTCCTTTTGTATTTTTGTCTTATTGAGCCGAGGGTATTTCGAAAATAGCCTCTCTACTCCTTCGGGGTAGGGGTAAGGTCTGCTTACATACTACCCTCCCCAAACCCCACCAGTGGGATTTCACTGGGTCGTTGTTGTTGTTTTTCTTCTCTCCTTTGTTGTCTGTCTTTTTCTAGGTGCTTGGCGAATCCCACAACAGAGGAGAAAGCTGTCATTCCTTCCGCTATAGCTGATGTCGTATCCTTAATGTGGTAAGCAAAACCGCCAACAAACCTGCGAATCTTTGCTTTTTCTGTCTTAACCATGTGAGGAGCATGCTTAGCCAACCTTATGAATTCCATGTAGTACTCTGGAACACTTTTATTCCCTTGCTTGAGCTGTTCGAACTATGTAGCCTTAGATTCCCTATCCTCTTCCGGGATAAAGTTAGCCATGAAGGCCTCTTCAAATTCCCAAGTAGGCGGACCATCATCCTCATCTCTTTCCTTTTCCCACATCTCAAACCAAGCGCCGGCCACATCTCTAAGCTGGTAAGCAGCCAGTTCCACAACTTCATCATCGAATGCCTTCATCGCCCGGAGGGCTTTCTTGACACCTAGCCATAACATTGGATCTTCATCAGCTATAGAACCATGGAACATTAGAGGACTCAACTTCAAAAATTCATTCACTCTTGAGGACTCATAATTGTTCTGTCTATTTGATTGAGGTGGAATCTCATCTCTTCTCTCGTTCTGGTTAGCCATGAAGGCTTTAAACATCTCCATAGCACTGTTGACAGCGTTAAACATCTGACCCACCTCTGGAGATATAGCTGTCTGAGCCGAAATTGTTGTTGGGGTGGCGTTGGATCCTGAGGTACTTGCTTATCATTATCCACCCCTTCTTCATGTTCAACTCGGGGTACTTGAACTCTCTTTGTGGATCTACCTTTCCTTTTCTGAGTTAAAGCCTTCTTAGTTCTACGTTGAGCCACAATAGTAGCAATAGTTTCTTGAGCAGCATCTGAGTGTCGGTGTCAGAGTTGCGAGTACGAGCCATTTCTACGAGTTTTGAAGAAACGAATACATTAGATAGTTTCTTAGAGAAAAGATCTACTGCACGATCTAAAGTATGAAAAAAATAACACTTTTTATAAATGCTTGTAGCCTTGTGTTTATAAGTATGGCGCGTTTCATACCCATAAACAAGACTCTGCTAACACGACTTCATAGACCCCTAGGACTCCATAAACCTGAGGCTCTGATACCAAGTTTGTCACGACCCATTTTCTAAACAAGCTGGGGCCGGCACCCGATCACTAAACATGACCGAGCGAACCATCTACGCTTATCAAATCTATTATAACTTCAAACTTTATATGCTAGAAGGCAATACTGTAACAAAATACTTTTAATTAATTTAGATATCTAAAATAAACCAACTCCAAAACTTTATTTGTAGTAACCAATGAAATACTACTAAGTTATTATCAAAAACATCTGAATCTTAACCCACCGACTGTGTCTATGAAGCCTCTACTGATAAATTGACGCACTGCTCAGGACATGAGATTTCCTGGCCAATTGTCTAAGTAAACAAAGAAATAGCTAAAGAATGACGACTCAAAGGAGTACTCCACGAACAAAAGCGGAGCTCACCAATAACACTGGAAGAGAGGGGAGTCCTAACCCGTAGCCCGCTCGCCTGTAAAACCGGTTCCTACATTGTACCGCAAACCAACGTAGGTTCCCAAAAGAGAACGTCAGTACCATCCATTGTACTCAGTGAGTCTCAACGACAGGGGACGAAACTTTAATAACATATACATTACGAGAAAAGAGTCTAAGTGCATGTAAAACAAAAAGCTTATAAGAGCAATTCTAAAATAATTACAAAATAACACTTTACGAATATTCTATAAGAAATTCTTTTCTTTTTCTTTCTTATAAAATTAAATACTTCACTTTATACTTTGGGAGTTCCAACTATCCTGACCTATTTCTGTCTTAATCACCGTGTGATCGGCACGGGTTTGATCGAATGGGCCCAATCCACGAGGTGCCACTCGCTTCATGGTTCTCATCGCTAATGTATCATACCTTAGCATAGATAAGTAAATTCTCAGCAACGAGACCCTTGACTCGTGTGCTCCCTACTTTGGTACAAGTAGTTTCAACGCCTTGGTCAAGACCCTCGGCCTGGACGATGACCCCTTCTCGGAATAAAGGATACTCCCAAAAATCTTTTCTTTCTAAAACTTCTTCTTGTGACTTTTCAAGTCTAAATCTTTTAAACATACTCATACTGGAATCCTTAAATGTAAGGTATGGCATAAGAATGTAACATTCAAAAGTATTTCTAAAGATTCTTGCTTCTTCATGAAAATTTTCTTATCAACATAAAAATGGCCTATAAGAATTACACAAAAATCTGAAAATGTAAGCACATATATCAGAATAAATCATCTAAACTTTAACTAAAATAGTTCTAAGCTAATAGGTATTCACTCACTTCAATTTAGTACATATTAACTCTTTTAGACAATTCATCAAACACCTTGTATGCATGTTTTTGTGAGTTAAACCACTTTGGTAAAGGGTTATATCAACTCACCTCAAAACTTCTCGAGCCAGTATGTAGGCCCCAGTCCAATTGACATCAGTTAAACAATTGATTCTACAACAACTAGTGCATTTTAATCAATTTTTAAAGTTTCTTACCTAGACATGAAATTTATTGTTGATATAGAGAAAGAAGGGAATTAACTATTCAATTCTTACCTATTACCACTGTAGAATAATTAACAATAGGGAATTTTATATACCTGAGTTCAAGAATTAGTAGTTTGTAAAGAACCCTAGGATTTTCCGTTGCCTGCGTGAGTAAGTAGCTCTGTTTCGTAGCTCTCTGTTTCGTAAGCGAACAGAACTAGTGTTCTATTTTTCGTCCAAGGCTTTGGCCTTCCGACTTTTACGTGAATGACAGTGTTTTGCTTAAGGCTTGAAGCCTTTGTTTTCCAACAGCCCATTTTATGGGCTTTAGCCCCCCGCCCACCCACTTTTTTTAAAAAAAATTTAATTTAACTAATAATTAATGATACCCACTTTTAATAATTAATAATATTAAAATTATTAATATTTCCCTAATTGTATATCCAATTCTTTATAAATAGAAAAGTAACTCAAAAATCAATCACAAGGGTTAATATCCATAATAGAAGTATAATTTAAGATTAAAAGAAACATTAAATTCTATATTTAGCGTGTCTTGAAACTTTTATAGGTTTGAGGAGTGTTACAATTTTCTTTACATCTTCATGTGTAAAATTTGTCTTTATTTTAAAATTAATAAGTAAATTAAATAGTACTATTAGTAAAATATTTAAAAAAATTATATGGCGGTTGGTGGTGATGATGTTTAACAATGATAGTTGTGGGTGCTAAGTGGGTTGTGGCTGGTGTTGGTGTTGGTTGATAGACGTGATTATGGGTGGTAGATGATGGATGCCAGTAATAGTTAATGGTGGTGGTGACTAATAATAGTGATGGGTGATATATAGTGATGGTTGTGGTGATGGGTGATTGTTGTGGTAATGGTGGTTGGTGGTGATGGTTGAAAATGATGGCTAGTGGTAGTGACAACTGATGTTCGTGCTTTACAGCGGTGGTAGTTATGGCTATGGATAGTGGTTATGGGTAGTGGATAGTGGCAGAGGCGGATGTAGAATTTAAGCTCTATGAGTTCAACCTTGAAGGGTTTTTGCCATAAACATATTATATTTTTAAATTATAGGTTCGAACCTACTATTTATTATAATTTTAGTAAATTTTTACACATAAATTTATGCTCTGCTCCAAAAGTACTGGGCTCAATTGAATCCGTTTTTGTCACTCTACATCCGCCTCTAGATAGTGGGTGATGGTAGTCTATAATGATTGGGGGGGGGGGGGAGGAACGATATCGATGGTGATGATGATTAGTGGTGAAAGTATAGGAGTAACAGTGAAATATTATTTTTTATAAATTTTTGAATGTATAACATCTTAATGATATTAAGACTCTTTATAGATCTTAATAATTATGATCTATTTGGACCTATTAAATGGTTGTAAAATTAAAAAAACGCATACTTAATGGTTAAAATCTGAATGACCAAGATTCAAATTAAAAAACAAATGCATTTAATGACTGAAATCTGAGTGATTCCCGTTTGGACATGAGTTTTTTTCCACTTTTTCTTCGAAAAATTTTAACTTTTTTTCGAAATCTGTGTTTGGCCATAAAATTTCCAATTTTCACTTGAAGATGAATTTTGGAATTTTTCGAAAATTTGAAAAACTCCAAAAAGTTGTTTTCAAAATTTTCACCTAGATCACTCACAAAACTTCAAAAATAACCCAAAATTATATTTATGTCAAAACACAACTCTAATTTTCAAATATCATTTTCACGATTTTTTTTTTTTTGGGAATTTTATAATTCTTATGGGTGTTTCTACTATTATTCAAAAATAAGAGGAGCTTTACGCAATATCAAAATGTCAAGGAGACCCATTCCTAAAATGACAAAGGACTAAAAATGGAGAAAATGCAGAAAGAGCCATTGTCGAAGTCCAGCAGAACAATGGAGGAAAAGGTAACAGCAGAAGCTATTTGGAACAAAGAAACAGTGCCAAAAGTGATGAAAATAGTGAGTACCAGACTCCCCCAAAGAGAACTCATCACTCTTCTATTTATCAGCCCTTGGATTCACCGCAGTCTCCATTCACACCCCTCTCTCTGGCTGGTTAGTTCAATTCTTTATTTACATATATATATATATATATATATATATATATTTATTTATTTATTTAATGTCTTTTATAAAAAAAGTACGAATTTCCTTATGTGGGGTTGTATTGTTTTTGTGTATTTGTTTTTCTCTTACAGGTTCTTGATTTTCATGAGATGAGTAATGCTGGCAATCGCCTTGTTTCAGCTCTTTCTTTGGTTTGTTTCCTTTTTATCCATTTTTCTTTTGTGGGTTAGTTATCATGCTAATAGATTTTTCTAAGTAACCAGTTTTGGCTCCTGGATTAATGTAAGAAGGAAAAGTGAACTGCGTTATAGTTTGTCTTTTGGAAATTTGGAAGCATAATGTGAGTGGAGAAAGATGGAAATCGGGTCCCATATGATAAGAGGGGCTGAAAGATAAAACTAGTCTTATTTTGGTTTAGGTAGATGTTGTATGTTGTATAACTGTAAGCCTGCAGCTCTTTGGTGCTGTTAAGATGGTAGTATCAGCTTCTATTACAGATACTAGTGGAGAGAAGACCAATATTTATGTTGGACATAACCCATGTATCGACGGGATAAGAACCGGAAATCACTTGGTCTTAGCACCTTCATCTTAAATGCTCACCACTAGGCTAGGTTTCGTTGGCTTCTTTCTACCTTTTTTGTCAAGCAATAGGAACACTAGTAGGAACTAGTTCCATCTGGTGCAGATACTAGTGAGGATAATACTGATTAGGTGATTTCTTCACATTTGCCCCAACCTTGGCGGGCGAGTTACCCGGTACTTGGGTTGGTTGGAGGTAGCAGGTACCCAGAATAATTGAGGTGTGTGCAAGCTGGCCTGGATACCACCTTCATCCCAAAAAAGTGATGTCTGAGTTGGACATAAAACCGTACATTGACAAAGGCCGCAGATGTTTGTCTTAGCCTCCGTCTTAACTGATAACCAGGCCAGTCTTCATTGGTTTATGTGCTATTCTGTTAAGTTGGTGATGAAAAGAAGCAATTTATAAGAATGAGTTTCTTTAATTTAGGGAGACAGGTCTTTTATTTGTCTTATATTTTGTTTTTGCAGCCGAGATATCGCAATGTGAAGCATATCAACCTTGAGTTTGCACAGGATATTGAAGACAAGCAACTGGAAATTGTTAAAAGCAAGGTGGGATTTGCGAAGTCATATAAATTAGCATGTTTTCATAGTTTCTTCTATAATTTCCAGTCAGTACAAATTCCGATGTGGAGGCTGCCTCATTTGATTAGCACCTCTGACCTTATTATTTACCACCATCTACTTGGAACCATTTTATAATCCTCAGAAAGTTAGAAGTAATCTTTTTCCTTGTTATCTTAACAGCTTAGATCTTATCATCTAATGGAGATAACTAAAAGTTTGCTTAATCCTTGTAATATGTGGTAACAAATAACTTTTAATGTGTCCTGCATGGTACTCTTTTTGTCACAGAAAATTTGATGTTTCCGTGGTGTCATAAATCTGCAGTGTGGGGATTCCCTTTTAAATCTGGAGATTCTAAATCTAAATGGCTGTCAAAGGATCTCTGACAAGGCAATCGAAGTAGTGACAAGTACTTGTCCTAGACTGAAGGTCTTTTCCATTTATTGGAATGTAAGGTATCTCAAGCTTCATCTAATGCTCTTTCCCAGTTTATTATATAGCTGATGCATGACCAAAGAGATTCAATTTGTCACCTGCAATTTTTGGATAAACTTTTAGAGTAACAGATGTTGGCATTACTCATCTGGTCAAGAACTGCAGATCAGTGGTCGATTTGAACTTAAGTGGCTGCAAGGTACATGGATTTCTAATGTGTTATACATATGTTTCAGTATTATTTTATGAGCATGTCTTGCATCAACCTCCAGAAGCGCCGGTTCATAGGTCTGAGACCATGGTGATTTAAGCTACAGAGGGGCGAGATAGACCTAAAATCACAACGAAGGAAGTTGCTTTGAAAGACCTGCAATTTCTTGGAATTCATGCAGACTTAACAAAAAATAGGGAACAACAGAAGAAAAAGATCCATACAAGCGATACCAATTAGTTGGGCTTAAGGCTTAGTCATGTTAGTATGCTCACTTTAGGTCCAATGTTGTCTAGGAGTTTTTTTAATCTTGTTAGATATTTGTATGCTAGAGAAAATGCAGAGAACATATAGTGTTAGAGAACCTAAATATTTGATATTTGATAAAGACCGGCCTAAATGAAGCAACATGGATATGATGATTCATATAGTCAATCCCAGCATAGCTGGGATTGAAACATAATTATTATTGCTGTGTACGTCGACTTCAGCGTTCTTTGTAAATTATTATTCTTGTCTAAAATGCTTAAGACTTCATTTTTTTGGGTAAAGTAAATATCTCTATTCATGTTGGGAGAAAAAAGACCCTGTATACAAGCAGTATACCAAAAAAGTAAAGAACCTGAAATGAAATATGGTTCTCTAATAAAAGCCACCCAATCATCTATACAAGTAGAGACCTGGTGGCTTCACCAAAACAAACTAAAAACACGGGGTATGTCATTCTCGACCTGGTGGGCTGTCGGAGTTTGGTTTTTGGACAATGATTCTGGCAAAAGGTTCTGGTATTTTCCATGGTACAATCCGTGGTTAACACTAAGTAATGAAGTGAGTTTTAGGGCGTGAAAGAAAGGCGAGGGAGAGAACATTTACTGGCCCAAAACGTCGATGGTCGGCGATCATTTTTCTGGCCAGCCATGACTTAATTCGAGATTCCCTCGTTTCCTCTAAAAAACGGAGAAGAAAAGATAGCTGCTTCTTCTTTGTTGGGACCCCTCCCCTGCTTTTTCTTCTTTTTGTTCAGATCCCTCCCTCTTTTTCTTTTCAGATCCCATACCCCTAATCTGCCTCCGGCTTCTTTTTCATTTTCACGACGACTTCTTGTAGTAGCGGAAGTTTTTTGCCATGGTAGCAATTAACCATGGGCTTATATAAGATGTGGTTTTCAAGTTCTTTCATTGTTTATTCTTGTATGTTTATCAATTAGGATTAAATAGGAATGGGAGTTGGTAAATGATCTAAGAAAAGTGAGGAAGGAGGAGGAGGGTCAAAAGGACAAAAAACCAAGAGAAAAGCGTAATTTTAAGTCATGTACACACTTAAATGTATGTGGAAAACAAAATATTTTCTCTGTCAGTCTGAGGTGTTTACGAGAGTGTCTAAATGGTCCCTAGCTAAGTTGGAGTTCCGGACAAATCTTGCCAAGTTTAAGGGGCTATCTAGGTGTTTGGCCTTGTATAAAATTTGACAAGTATAAGAGAAAAGTAGTAAGTGATACTCTGCACACTTGCAACACAAGTAAAAAGAAGCTTCTACTGTATCTAATGATAATATCATTTGATGCGAGCTCCATGCATCTAAGGCTTGACACTCGTGCAACATAGGATACACTCAAAAGCTTTTTGTCTCCCTAAATCAACCTGATGCCAATATGTACTACATTCACTAGAACTTTATCATGTCTCTATTGACCTTATTGTAAAGTTCAATAGGAGCCTAGATAAAGCAAGTTAGTTTTAATTTGCTCTTCAGTTATACAAGACAAATATGCTGAGGTGTTTGTGAAGTTCACCTCAAAACATTTCAAATTCGTCCTTTGCCTTTTTCTTTAGTGATAAGTATAACGATCTAATTCTTATTTTGCTTGGCTGCTGTGTCAGTCTGTGACTTCTACCTCCTACATTCATTCTCTTTGCCCTGAGCTGCAGGTGCTTTTCAACAGTTTAAGTTCGCAATATGCAAACACACTGCACTTGTTTCTCATTATGCAAATCCTCTGACTTTCATTTAATTTATACTCTTTTGTGCTGAAGATCGTCTCATTTTGTTGATATGCTATGCAGAATATTACAGATAAAAGTTTGCATCTTGTTGCTGACAATTATCAAGAAATGGAATCCTTGAACATCACTAGGTTGGAGATTTTCTCTCAATTTGCAAAAGATTGTTCTGAGAGAGAAAGAAAAAGAAAAAAAATGTTAAGGAAGAGTTGTTTTCAAATGTTATAGCATCTCTGGGATAGAAGCGTGCTCTTTCTTGGCTTTAGGCCTTCGTGTGTTGTATGGTGATGGTCTGATATTGATAAACCTCCCTTTCTCTAAGAAGGATACTTATAATTGAGTATTTTTAGAGTATTGCTAATTGTTTGGTCTTTATAACCTTTTTGAGAGGGATAGACACAATTATGTCTTCTTGATTGTACTGATTTAGTTAGATGTTATTAGGTGCATCAAGCTGACAGATTCTGGTTTGCAACGGATTTTACTGAAGTGCTCTTCTCTTCAGAGTTTGAACCTTTACGCCCTTTCCACGTAACCACTTGTTTCATTTTTATATACCTGTCAAAAAAATATGTTCCGTTTTATTGTATGTCGTGTGTGTATGCACCTTTCTATCTCTCAAAGATATACTACAAATTTGCATGTGTTGTTTGAATTCCTCATCAGACAAGCTGCTTCCTTTCTTACTTGCAGTTTAACAGATGAAGCTTATAAGAAGATATCTCTTTTGCCTCATCTTATATTCCTGGATCTCTGTGGTGCTCAGGTATAATCTTTAGCATTCTCTTGAACTGTTTTTTTCCGTGCATTATGCTATTGCATGGTGCAATGATGAAATTGTTTAAGTGACATTGTATTAACTCAAGTTGTCCTTCAGAATCTAACAGATGATGGGCTTTCTTGTATAGCCATGTGCAAAAACCTGGTGTCTCTCAATTTGACATGGTATGTAACACAGTTATTTTTTAATTTTCATCTGGAGCAGAAGGAGATATAGTAGTATGTTCTTGGACTGATATCTATTGGCATTGACAGGTGTGTACGAGTCACTGATGTTGGGGTAATAGCAATAGCTCAAGGCTGCAGGTCTCTTGAATTCCTAAGGTAAATCTGGACCTAAAATTATCAATAAAAATAGGAGACGGAGATGGCCTATGATATGTTACTTCACCACCTCCACAAAATTGACAAATATTCAATTTTGTGAACTAATTGAGATAGGGATGTCCTGCTTTTTCATGTTTCAAGGTTTGTCTAGTCACTGGACCTCCAGCTTAAGCAATAATAAAACATAAAGTATAGTCAATTGCTATTGACTGCAGATTTGTTTGAAAGTTAATTAATGACCTGGTGGCCGATTTCGGTAACCGACTAAACTCGTGACCTTCCAGCAATCTGATTGTACTATATTTATTTAATTTCTTTTTGTGCTGCTCCTGCAGTTTATTTGGGATACTTGGGGTATCTGACAAGTGCTTGGAGGTGCTTTCTAGCTTTTGCTCTGATACACTTACAACCCTTGATGTAAATGGCTGCACCAATATAAAGGTACAGAATATCTTTAGAATCTCCAGCCATGCTATCACCTTTGTTTCCTAGAACATTGGCTCGTAAAATCGCATGTGATAAAGTTGGAAAACAACTGGATTGTGCTATTAGCAATTAAGCCTTCCATCTTTCAATATGGTTTACACAGTAGGTTTTCTAAGTTTATCACTTGGTCGGCTGGAAGTCCCCATTCTTCCCATATGACCTTTCATATTTTTCTCATATCGCCCCATGATTCATATGATTGTTCTTACTATGCTGGTACATCACTTTGTAGAATCGCAGCCGTGATCAACTGCTCAAGTTATTCCCCAACCTGACGTGCTTCAAAGTGCATAGCTAAGTTGTCATTTTGTCGATGATTTCATCTGCTCTTCTGTAGTGACTATCTCAGCTAGCACAGAGTGAGTGAAAGAAACTGATGCCAAATGCCAAATTGCTAAAGGATACAATGAGCCCTTGATTTATTACCAACAGGAGAAAAAGAGTGAAGGGGAAAGTCAGTTTACCTGCTTCTACGAAAGATAAAACAAGGTAACTTGGCATGCTTTGGGCGCCACTTAGTGTATCATCCTTTCGTGGCGGATATTTTTAATTCCTTCATATGCTCACTCAACATGGTCATCTCTTGTGTGATCCAAGCTGATGCATTTTCTATACATGTAAGTTCTCAGCATTAATTTATGGCCTTTTGAATTCCTAAACTTTAAGCGCTTCGTGTAGCTACACAATGTTTTATGGAGAATCATGTAATCTTGAATTGGTCCAATCTGTATCATACTCTAAGCTTCTTTTATTTGTCAGAATTTGTGATCAAATTGTCAAATTGTCATACGCTAATACTTGAACTTGACTGAGTATCTGCCGTGACCAAATTGTCAATAATTGTGAGAAAATGATAGCAAGTCATAAAAGACACAGAAATAAATTAGTGTTAAAGATAACAGATCTATTTGGTGAAGCTAATGATAGAAAATAGTACACTACCTCCTATGCTTGTGCTATTACCAGTTTTGGAGTGGCTGGCAAAGTCAATGAAAACCTGAGCATCTGGGGAGTTAAATATTAGAAGTGCTATCACAGAGCAAATGAAATGGAATTAGCTTCAAATATTAGTAAAATCAATTAAGGAACCTTAGTTTTAGTATTGAGGATGAAAGAATTTGTCTCAAGGATTATGTAATATCCCTGGGCAAATCTCATATTAGTAAAATACAGGAGAGATGCTAGGTATATAAGAAAGCACATGATAAAGTCGTGCTGACCTAATCTCAAAGCGGACATTATCACTAGTGGCCTGAGCTGTTATATATCAGGGTATTCTGAAACATTAGCCGGAGCACCGAGACGTATTGCAGATTGAGTGGGAAGGTAGCATTGAGTTTGAAGCTAATATCTTGTAAGGCCCTGTAAAAGTTCACCAAGGATTTAAGTTTTAATGGTGCCAAGGTAAGCTAACGTGCCACAAACCGGATTTTTGGATTGTGCAATGCATCGTGGAGTTGGTAGAAGAATTTGTAGAAAGCGACAATTCTGTGGTCCATTATGCTATAGCGGATCTGTTCCGCTGATCATGGAATCACCACGGAATGAATCAGAAGCAAATCAAATTTGAAAAGCATTTTGTGGCCATTCTGCTGGTTGCATAACCATTATGCTACCGCGAAATTGCATCGTGAAATTGACCAGCCCCAACCCAGAATTTGAAAGCCATTTTGTGGCCATTCTGCTGGCCGCATATCCATTCTGCTACCGCGAAATGGCATCGCGGAATTGACATACCATTTTGTGGCCATTCTCCTGGCCACATATCTGTTCTGCTACCACGGAATTACACCACATAATTGACATCGGGGGGAATTTTTGAAAATTTTCTTATCCGACCCTATTTTGATATAAGGCTTTAGGGGGTCATTTTATCAGATATAACTTGATGTTTTAGAGTGAGGGTATCAATTTAGAGAGAGGGGGAGAAGCTCTATCAAATTATACTCTTCAATTTTTGCACAAACCTTGGGAATTCAAGGGGGAAACTCACAAGACCTTCTACTTACAAGGTAAGACTTCATTCCTAGATTTTAGAAAATAAAATAATGGGTTTATGTAGGATCTTATCATGGTAGGGTTTGTTGGATGGTGACCGAAATCCATAAGCCCTCAATCTCGAATTTGGGAGTATGTGAAGACTAGAAAATGTGATTTTGGTGGGTTTGAAGCAAATGGTTTGGCATGCATGTGACTAATGATGGTTGATGGGTGTTGTAGGGATATTGTATATTGGTTGGCTGCTTGAAAATTCATGGTGAGGATAGAGGAATTTTTATTATGGGACCTTGTAATCGATCTCACATATTAGGTGTTTGATGAAATGTCAAAATGTGCTAAATCTAAGAACACCTTCCTAATTATGGTTAAATTTGGTTATGTGTCGCGACCCAAACCGCAGGGCCGCGACGGGCACCCGGTGCCTTACTCAACCGAGTACCAACGTAACATATCTTTCTTATCATACCATCATGGGTAAATGGGCTAGAAGGGCCGTCATAAGATAACCAGAATAAAACATAAGGGAATACTAGACATAGGACGGCCCAACATGATTATAGAAACTTATACATGTGACATACAGACCTATAAGGCTGACATGATCATTTGTATACTCAAAATATAAGCCGACAAGGCCATACAAGTATCCATAAATATGACATCTATCTACAAGCCTCTAAGAGTATATAAATGTCATAAAGGTCGTCACAGGCCCCCGCCATACCAATCAATACATGTCCAAATCATATTGACCAAATAGGCAACTCCGGAGCAAATGGAGTGCACCAACACCTTCCGCTGAGCTGATAGCCTACTTGGAGGACTGTCAACCTGTCTATCGGGACCTGCGGGCATGAAACGCAGCGTCCCCAGGCAAAAGGGACGCCAGTACAAATAAAGTACCGAGTATGTAAGGCATGAAAGCAGTATATAAAAGACATGAAAGAAACATGGAGTAAAGTACTCAACATGTAAGTCTGAATAGCTCTGTGAATCATGAAACATTTATAATGTGATGCATATGTGTATAAATGTCATACCATGCATAGGTATATGTGTACATAACATCATCAAGCCTCTGAGGGCATCCCATCATATCATCTCGACCACTGTGGGTGAAATCATCAACGTATACCGGCTGATAAGGTGGTGGTGCGATATAACGCCATAACCTTTTTCCATACCCCATATACATATAATATATGCGTATATAACGCCATCTGGTCATGGATCAATGTACATGTATAAATGAATGCAATGCATAATGAAGTAAGTCAATAAGATCTCTCGGAATGTCATAAGATCATTATGCCTTCGATTAATACCATGAAATAAACTTTATCAACTTACGTATTTTCTGAGACCCATGAACAAACGATATAATAATAGGACACATGGGGAATCAAGAACATATGCACCCCTAGTACTTCTAAGAATAGAGTCATTTGTGAAAGTTCGGCGTTTGCTCGTTTCATTTGTATCATATGGATCATGCCAAAAGGAAAGAAGGGATAACCTTAATATACCTTAACTCCATTGAGTCCTTAATACCTTCCAAGCAATTTTTCAAACAACTCAACTCAATCTACCATAACATAAGGAGATTCAAAATCAGTGCTGAGTAAAGGCTAAGTTCACAACTTAAACTAGTAGCTCGTTTATGTAAATTTGGGCAGCATCTACCCTGTAACAAGGACCTCCTCCAATACCATATACCAACAACAATGACAAGAGCAATCCATCAATACATAATTATCAATAACAAGAAACCATATAACAACAACAAGTCATAACTGCAAGCTCTGATTGGAATCCGTATACCCCATATCACCCCTTATAGACTTCTTACTTTAACTTACCAGTATCAGTAATATGATAATAAAGTTATTTATTAATGATTCCAGCCTTATACCATATATTTATAACAAAGAAAACAATTCCAACTCCAATTATCCTCAATTAGCAACTTTATTCACTAGTTCATGTTTAGTTCACCCATTTAACTTAATCAATATCAAGATAACCTTAAGCACATACAAGAACACAATATACATACCTCCTACAGTAGCTTCAAGTCGAAATCCAAGTTGAATTTAGCTTATAAAAGCCCTCAATGGCAATACAACACCATAGAAGTTACTTAAGCTAATCTTCACTTCCAATCTCAAAGCTAATCTTCACTTCCAATCTCAAGTTTCATATGTTTCTTTCACCAATTTACTCGATAAATATATAGACATGCATAACAACAGAAACCATATCATAGTCAAGTTATTTTCCCATTTTCCAGCCATAACAACATATATACATCATTTTTCAACTTATATCCATCGCAAAATACAACAAAACAACCCAACACACCCCAATCACTTCATACACAAAACAACAACTATAGTAGTGTCAAACAACCCGAAATGTTATAAAGAAAGACTAACCCACTATTTAGCCATTATGTGGTGTTTCTCCACACCCTTTATCCTCCCAAACTCCATTAAATAGTTTCAAAATAGACAGCCCAAAAACAACACGAAACAACCCACAAAACAGTCCACTACAAGTTGAAAAACTCGAACTCACGGCTTCCGATCACCCTCCCGCGAGTTCTAACTATTAGGAAATAAATTTATCGTCCTTCCTTGATATTGAAAAGCTTAAATACAGAAAGTAGACGTTTTCTTAACGACGAAGTACCTTCCAAACCTCAAACTACAAAGAAAAAAAGAGGCGATATAGCGATACTTACGTCGTAGGGATCTTTCTAATGTTATCGCTTCTTGATTTCGTAGCCGTGATGTTAATCTTCTTTGAAACCCTTGTAGAGAGCTTAAGGGTAAGTTTATGGTATTATTTTGGTCGTGTTCTCTGGAAAAATGAAGAAACATACGACATAAGGGATATAAATATCCACTTTTGAAAAGTCAAAAAGGAGCTACTTGGCACCCTAGTATTGGCCCTTCTTCCAACGCTTATATCTTTTTATCCGGATATCTTCCAACCCTAGTATTGGCCCGATCCACAAATATCATTCAATGCACGGCATCACCCTTGGTACACAAACAAGCAAATAAAAAAACCCGGCAAGGGTACAACATCAATAACTAACAACGTCCCGGCAAGGGAATAAATCATTAACTCTTCTCTTTCTTTCACTTTCATCTCAAAGTTCACATTATCACTTGAGCCAATGCTCCAAGGAGTTACTTATCTCATATACCTTCACAATTTGTATTTCAACCCGAGCCATGCTCCACGAAGTTCAAAGATCACAATCTCTTTCACAAGATCTTTACAACATATAGAAGTCATCATTTAAGCATGGAAGGCATAATAACAACCAAACTATTCGCAAAATAAGGACTCACGGTCATGCTAGACACCAATGTATAGATACTCGTCACCATGTCTATACATCGTACTCGACAATTAGCAAGTTACAAATAAGACTCAACTCCTATTCCCTCAAGCTAGGGTTAAACCAAACACTTACCTCGATGCCTTGAACTCAATTCAAGCCTCAACTATGGCTTTACCCCGTGATTTCACCTCCAATCCGCTCGAATCTAGTCACAAGTCACTTAATTACTTTAATAAACACTAAATGAATCAATTTGAATGTATAAAAATAAATTTTCCAAAGTTTTTCCCAAAAATTCCAAAATCGCCCCCAGGCCCACGTGGTCAAAACCCGAAGTTCGAACCAAATCCCGGTTACCCATTCCCCCACGAACTCAAATATGTAATTTGTTTTGAAATCGGACCTCAAATTG